ATATATATATATATATATATATATATATATATATATATATATATATATATACATATATATATATATATGTATATGTAAGTATCGATCATATATCGGGAATCAAAGTTTTTTCATCAGGAAGTTGAAATAAAATAAAATCAAGAAAGAAAAAGACAATATATGACAACGACATGATTTATATGGGATTTTTACAGCAAAGCAGTAATGATATCTTAAATTTCCATCGTTTTCCCAAATCCGTCATTTCATTTCATTTCATTTTATCTTAGTATATCAACTGACATTCATCCATATAATCGATACTGCCTTGTTGAAGAAAGATTGCGGGGTATTTTGGAAGGCAGTCAATAAAGCTATCCAGAATGAGCGGAAAACTTCCTCGGAATAGCTTTCAAGAAATCAATGTGAATCAAGAAACCACAAGGAAATTGGGGAATGATCACTATCGATGAGATTGAAATTCATCTGAAGTCTCCTTGTGCAGTCATTGATTGTTTTTAAGATAACCACTAAAATGGTGCCAAAGCAGATGAAGACATTATTTCTAATAGAACAGGCCTTACTGAGCGTTACTGGATTTTTAAAGGAACAAAGAAAAAATATAAATCCATGAAAAAGAGGAATTCTTAGTAAAAATTTAGATGAAATTTATGTACGAATAAATAATTGACGAGAATGGGAAAATGGATGCTGGAAGCATATTTAACTCGAAATTGAATTAAAGTTTCAAATTATTGAAGTTAATCACTTCCTTGCTTTTGCATATTGTCAACTCTTGGTTCATAGAAATGATGTCCTCCAAGGATACGGTAGAATTCGAAATGTTCTGTTGAGGAATGATTCTTAGCAATCGATTTAATCAGTTCACCAGCTGGACATGGTTTCATCTTCGGCACGAAATCCTGTAAATCAGAAATCAATAGTTAAAATTCCCTTCAAAAGACGAAATTAAAAGATTCTTTTTAGGTATGGTAGCATATACAGAACTAGGAAGCAAAATCTGAAATGATGTAAGGGTGTCCAAACATGGTATGTTTAAGCTTACTTTAGCTTTTAGGCCTGAATGCATGAGACTTAGCTTTAGACTTGAGTATGCACATTGGATGCAATCAGTCAAATACAATGCAAGAAAATTAATGCAGAAAACTTCCTATACAATTTTCTACAGCACATTTCCTCTCGAAAATTAAGCAAAAATTGACGGAGAAATCTTTTTTGTTCGGTAAGCTTACAGTATTATATTGAGATTCTACTTTTACTTGACCATTTTGCCAAAACAATGATTCGTGCAATTTAGTAGATGTCATCTGAACTTGCTTTGTAGATATTGTTGGCATTTTGAACGATGCACGAGAAATGCTTCGATCTACAAAAGATGACCTACGAATCAACTGCTTGATGTTAACTAATGATTCACATATTTTTTAAGTGAAAAATAATGAAATATCTTCGTTCATTTAACAGAAACTTCGTGTTACATAGTAAGATTAGCTAAAGAAATCACAGCATATCATTAAATGAGAAAACTTTTTCCCTAACAAACTTACTCCCGGGAAATTTGAATTCTTCATTTTGGTGTTGAATAACGCGTCGAAAATCCTCTGCTGATACTCCTTCATAAAATGTTTCCGTATACGTTGTCCTCCAATTCTCTATATATGCTTTACTATGCTCCACTCTATCGTGCATGATGCGCTCCGAATGTGTTTTTTCCAAGTTTTCCTTACACACTGAGTTGCAGCATTTTTTCTCCATTTCTACGACAGATTCCTCTTGTTTTTGCTGTTCCTGAAATGAAAATACTAGAAATTACAGATTTAAATAATACAGTGGTATACCTTTGTTCACTTTAGTAACAAAAATAATGGATGTTCACAGCTGCATAAGTTACTAATATTTAAAGATTTTGATGAAATGCAGCCTTAATTATTAACCTTCCAAATGTCTGAGTTGATAGGCTTTACAGTTTCAAATCTGTCCCCTTTTTTGGCAGTGAATTCAACCTGCGAATGTGTTTCGCCTCGGAATGAACCATCACCAAATAAAATATCTGCATCGCATGGTTTCTTAATTTCACAGCGTTCACCTTTTTTAGGGCTGAAATCTTGCCGACTAACACTTCTCATTCGCAATTTCCCATCATGCTGTAAATGAATTAAGATTTAATTAATGGACGAATGAAAGGAATTCCCTATATTCACACTTTTTTCTCCTACATTTACAGTCTCCTTTATATTTCCTATATCTACAATCTCTTTGTCTACAGTCAATACAAGGAAAAAGATAAAGATATAAACCTTTAAAATTTCTGACGATGTCGGACACTTAACTTCACATCTTTCTCCTTTTCGACCCATATAATCGGCATTTTTCTCCGTCTTACCTATAAATGAACTATCTCCGCACAAAATATTCGAATCTATGGGTTTCGCTGTAGGATATCGATCTCCTTTTTTTGCATCATAATCCTTATGGGATACTGGTACTGTACCACAATCCAAACGACCCTCGCTCTGCAAAAAGCATCAATAATTTAAAAACTGGGATATATTAATTGCTGCATGCTGAATTGGAAATTGATTTCGAATTTCATGACCAACTGAAATCTGGACCAGAAATTTTCATTTATCCGTAGTACTTTATCTCACAAGATCAAATCTTACATCCTCCTTTGCCCTGCATCCAGTATTCTTCTTGGGAGAAATTCTCCACAATGATTAATCCACTGCTGATTCGGGCAGATGCTTCCCGTCGAACAATTTCACATCATCCTCATTTTTGTCCTATACATATCACGTTCCTATTACTTCCTACCACAAATAAACCGTCAGCGTAAAGAACTTCAGAGTCTCATAATTTAGTTTATTCACCTTGACCACCAAGAAAATTCGATATGAGATAGCTTTCGCTTCCATATTTCCATCTGCTGAAATTTGATGATAACCATTGGGAGTGAATATCACTGAATATACATCGCATCGCTACTTTAACTGACAGTGACCGATGTTGACCAAATATGATTGCAATTCTGAATACTTGGAACAACAATGTGGTTTACATCCTTTGCAAAGTAAACATATTTTCTATTCGATGTGATAAATTTTGCTCAGTGCAACAAACAGTGAAATGATAGATATTTGAATTTGGAATGTATGTACGAATTCCAACATCATAAGCTGGTTTTCTAAAAGCAGGTCTACTGAAATCAGCTTCAACAAGCAAATCCTTCCAATTGAACAACATTACAACATCCACAACTTCACGATCTGAATTCGAACTGCTATGAGTCTCACGGCCGGGAAGGAACTGTGATGTAGGACGTCAGAGTTTCACAACATTGCTTCAGGTAAAGTTTTCTTGCTGTATTGCTAATATCTTTTCTATTCCTTCTTGTTGTCACATTTGACCTTGTATGATTCTTCGTCATCAAGCAGTATTACTTTTTATTAAATCCATTCAGTCGGAAATTGAAGATTCGTGTTCTTATTTGTACACGAACATTGTATTTTCCATCGCCGAAAAATATCATATATATATATATATATATATATATATGCCATTCTTTTTTTATAATTTCAAATTCACTGAACAACAGACCCAGCAAATCACCGCAAAAGTAATTGCAAAAATCCCGTCATCTACAACACTTTTTACTTTCCGAGAAGAGTTACAAACAGTAGTTCGTTAGAATGCTCCCTCAAAATCGGAACTGATCTGCATTTCTGACGCAGTAACTACTTGACCACAAAGAATACCAGAATCATCCGATATAGTCGAATACTGTTCAACTTGCGAATACTGTTTAACTTGTTGAACAGCAAACTCCTGGTAGAAGCTGTCAAGCTATACCGCTAGAAAAAAAACGTATGAATTCTGGAAAAACATAACAGAAAACATGCCATCCCAACATTCTAAAGATGTTGACATGAAAACTACTGGTATATGCAGCTGATAATAAAGCCATAAGAAACAGAGCAAATCTCGATTGAAACTCGACCTTCGAAAAAAGTTGCTCATTTGCTAGATAATCTCTCAGAAGTATTGCATACAATCGTCCATCTGATTTCGTGGTATAATCTGCTCTACTTTGCGCTTCAGTTCCAAATCATTCATCGACATTTGAATTTTGCGGTTTCGAAGTCGAATGAAGAACAATTTTTTTCATATCGTAATCCACACGGGACTTCATCTTTGATTCCGTCGTTCTTCCAAAAAACAATACAAGGGCCAAGAAAAATGTACTTTTTAACTGCATAATCTCAATAACCTCCTAATCTCAAAATCATCAGAAGATCGATCGGTAAGATAGGAAAAAAAAAAAACTATCGCTCGCAAATTATCACCCTATTTACCAGACACTCATTATCATCTAACAATTTGGATTCATTTGTTTTAAGCTACATTGCTATTTACATCCATCCTCGCCAAAGTCAAACTGCGGTTAATGAGATCTCTCGCCACAAATTCAGGACTACAACAAGGAAGCGAATTAGATGACGAGGAAGGAAGCGAATTAGACGAGTTAGACCAACAGGTACGACACAATAAACGTTTTGAATAACTGACGCATTCGCCGATGGGAAGCAGTGTCAAAGCCCATCCATCCTTCCCTCTGAAATATCAATTCGATCGCTTTATTACAATCAACTCCCACGTTTCTACACTTATCCTAAAATGAAGCCGAACAAACCTTCCATAATTCAGATTCAACGGGACGTTTTGCATCGTATCGTTCACCTTTCTTCGCTGTAAACTCGGTAGCAGTTTGCGTTTCTGACATGAATGATCCATCACCATGCAAAAGATCAGAATCTTGTGGTTTTGTTACCGGATATCGTTCTCCTGTCCTATTGACGTAATCTTGATGAGAAACAGTGTCACTACCCATCTGCCCTTCTT